GGAACATTCTAGATCTTTGCTGTCCAGGCCGATGACCACCCCCCAGACACATGTAAGGACTGAGCACTTGACATGCGGCCAGTGCACCTAAGGGATGGAATTTTAAATTTTATCTCATCGTCATTAATGTTCATTTAAATAGCCACATGTGCCTCGTGGGTACCCTGTGTGACAACACAGCCTTGGATAGAGGGATGTCCCTACAGCCAGGGACAGGGAAAGAGCAAAGTGCACAGAGGAAGGCAGTTAGCAGGCCAGACCATAAATAAAAACACACTTCAATTAAGGGCCCGGAGCGGCCGCAAAACCCACGTTGATACGTGTTTACATTATAACCTCCCCCGGGTTACTCATCCCACACTTAAACCCTCCAGCTCCCACCAGTAAAAAGGGTGGAACAGGGGAAACTGAGGAAGAGTTCTCAGGCCGGGTTGGGATCCCAAGTCATGAGACCTCCCCGGGTGCTGGTGTCTCACTGCAAGGTCACAGAACAGAGGGGACACTTCTCTGGAGGAAGAATCCTGACAGCATTCTATGAATTTTGAATGCAGCAGGGTTTAGAGCCATCTTTGTGGGAGGCTCCTGCCACAGGAGCCACTGAGATTACAAGATTAGCTGCAATCCAAACCACACTGGGAGGGAGAAAAAAAAAAATAAGAAAGGGAGATACAGGGAAGGGAGTCCTGGGAGGCCTGGCTGAGTGGAGAGTTCTGAGCAGAGAGCTCAGAGTGAAGGAGCCAGCTAGTGGCTGCCCAAGGGAGACTGTCCCAGACAGAGGGGACAGCCAGTGCAAAGGTCCTGGGGCAGGCAGACACTCAACCTCTCACTCCAGAAGTCTGGACTGACCCCTTCATATTTCAAATAGGAATTTTGAACCAGCCAAAAGAGAACGTTTGTTTTGTTTTGTTTTAGAGACAGGGTCTGCCTCTGTCACCCAGGCTGGAGTGCAGTGCGTCATCATAGCTCACTGCAGTCTCAAACTCCTTGGGCTCAAGCCATCCTCCCGCCTCAGCCTCCCAAGTAGCTGGGTCTACAGGCATGCGCCACCATGCCTGACTAATTTTTTCTATTTTTGTAGAGACGGGTCTTGCTATGTTGCCCTGCTGGTCTCAAACTCCTGGCCTCAGGCAATCCTCCTGCCTCCACCTCCCAAAGTGCTGGGATTACTGGCATGAGCCACTGCACCTGGCCAGAAACAGAACTGAATCTCCACCACCCACACACAGGTTTCCCTCCCTCAGTAAGGACCCCTGCACTGCCTGTCCCAGGTGTCTCTCTGGCGTCACCCCAGGCCTCCCTGGCTGCCAAGCTCTGCAGCCAGAATCATTGCTCTCCCGACCCTGGCCTTGAACCTAGCGATGCTGTGACTTCACTGTCCTTGTGCTGGCTCTCAGGTCCTTTGTCACAGGGCTGGGAGGAGAGTTGGAAAAATTCACTGATGAATTAATTGCGTAGCCCCAGCTGGGCTCCCAGGAAGCGCTGGATCCCGGGAATCAGTAAGTTCTCTGCAGAAAGGGGGCCTGAAGCTCCCTTTGCATTGCACGTTATTCAATAGGGAGGAAAAACGTCATTCGCCCATCTCTAAGAATTGGGGTGAGAGGGCCAAAGACCCCAAAAATGATCAGACTCCATAACCAAGGCAACTACTCGCCGCCTATCCCTCCCCAAGTCCCACCCTCTGGCCTCCCAAGGCCCACGCCCTCCTACATTTCCCTGACCCTGCTGGGACTCCGCCCCCCGCCCAAATTGCGTCTGGCTAGCTCTGCGCGCCACCTTCCAGGCAGCGGGACCGCAAGGGTTAAGCGGAGGCTCTGGGGCTCGCTGAGTGACAGCGCGGCCGGCGGCCTGGGCGAGCCGACCAATCAGCGACGGCGAGGCTGGCCCACGTGGGCTAGCGGCCTCGCGATTGGCTAGCGCCGCCCACCGCCGCCCGCGGAGCCCGAGCCCACGTGCAGCTGCCGTGCGCTCATTGAGCGGCTTCGCGGTGCAGGTGGCGGCTGGGCGGGGCCGGGGGCGGGGCCGGGCCGGGGCCCGACGGGTCAAAGGCCCCCAGTGCGGGTGGGGGATGAGGAGGCTTTTCCTCTTGGC